GCCCCTGCCCGCCCTGGCCCCTGCGCGCGCCCCGGCCCCGCCGGCAGACAAAGGCTGCACGGGGCTGTGCGGTGCCGCACTGTCTGCGCCAGCCGCGCCGGGCTTCCTATTTGAAGGCAAGGACCACGCCTCCGCCTGCCGCCGAGGCCTCTCCAAAGCATCCCCTGGCCAATCCGTGGAGCAAGCCTGCTTCAAACCGCACCCGGACCAATGGGACCAGTGGGGAGGGCACCCCGGCCCCGGCGAGGGGCACCCCGGGGAGCACGGCCGGGGCAGAGAGGGGTGGTCTGGCCCAGCACCCCTCGCTGATGCTCTGCCCCCATCGCCTGCGCCCAGGGGTGCATTGCCCACTCCCAGGAGTACAGTGTCCACACCCAGGGGTGCATCACCTTCACCCAGGGGTGTATCCCCCATGCTCAGGGGTGCATCACCCACCCCACTCACCCACCACCCTGCCAGGCTGGGGGATTTTAGGGCTCCGCTCCCTGGCGCTCCCTCAGCTCTCAGCACCCTCGCAGGCTCTGGGGCGGCTCCTGGGCTCCCCGCTCCCACCCCGGAGCCCCTTGGAAAGCACCAGCGGGGGTTTCCACCCATGCTTCCCCAGCCAAGGTGTGCCAGGAGCGGCGCTGGGGCCCCGTGCACCCCATGTCCTTGGGCCCCCGCCAACTCCAACAAGCACAACCACCCGCCGCAACGGTCACACGGAGGCACCGGCCCGCCCCCCGTGGGGGGGGGGGCGCCGCCGGTGCCTCCACCCTCCACTTGCGCTCCCGGCCCAGCGGGCTCTCCGTCTTGGGGAAGGGGCTGTCGCAGAGGTTGATGAGGTTGTTGAGGATCTCCAGGTCAAGGGATGTCTTCGGGCCGCCAGCCTCGGCACGGCGCGGCCCTGGGGGTGCCCTGCGGCTGGGGGTGAGCACAGCCCGGCGCACCCCCGGGGTGAAGAGGGGCTGCTTGAGCAGCGGCGGCTTCACCGGCTCCTGCTTGGTGCTGGCAACCTGCTGGCTCTTCACATATTTGGCCTTGTCGGCCTCCAGCCTCTCCACTGCGCTGGGCTTCCCGGCACCCGGTTCAGCGCGACGGCGGAAATACGCGGGGCCCTTGCGGAGGATGCGGACCGGCATGGCTGAGGTGAAGGGCGCCGTCACCGTCGCCTCCTTCACGGCGCCGCTGGCTTGCAGCGCCTCAATGGGCATCCTCTGCGCTGGCACCAGGGCACGGGGGGGGGGGGCGCCACGGGGCGCGG